GCATTTTTGGGCTTCGAGCCAAACTGTAAAGTTTCTTTTTTTGAGCCCCTCTTCAACTTTATTGAAGGGATCTTTGCTGTTTGAGGTCTTCTACTACCCCTTGCCCTCTATCTCTCTTTTAGGGCTATTTTTGCATCATGTTTTAGCCCTACTTGTGAATACTTTAGAGGTTTGATATAAATTGGAAAAAGTCTTGTTTTGACCTCCTGTTTGAGTTTGTTTAAGGTCTCTTCCTTGTTTGGGATCATCTTATCCCTATGCATGCTTCATCTCTCCATGATCAGGGCTATTTTTTGAAATGGGTATTGAACGAACTGACTTATCGCCTTTTTCACTTTGTGATTGTCCACTACCATTGAAAAGGAAAATCTAAACATTATGTTTTAATAATGTTTATTCATGTTTGTATAATATATGCATGAAAAGAGTAATAAATTATTTTAATTAATAGTCCATAGCAATTTCGTACGTAAGAAGGGGAAAAAAAAAATTGGCACTTTGATGGGTAAGCATGTGTTTTGTAATACTAAATAATTGGTACGGATGGCCCGATAGATTCACATGGATAACTATCCAAAATGTAGTCCATACATTTAACCACCAACTTCAATTTAATTATCTCTAATTTTTTGCCATTATAAATTATCTCTGTAATTATTTTTTTGTTTTTGTATGTGTAAGAAAAAAAAGGAGTAAATAAATTTAATTTTTTTCTTACTTTTCAGAACGATCCAAAATGATCCAAAATCAGTTTGTTGTTTTAATTTTATAAGAAAGCCTCTATGCCCTCTACAAAATGGACGAGGGTTACTAGTTCACATAGGAAATAACTTTGTCATTAAGGTCCGTAATGGCACAAGTTGGAGCAAATCAAATTAACTTATATTTTCCATAAATCTGAACAATTACATCACCAGGTTAAAAAAATCTCTCTCAATGTTTGCACCCTGTATTTTATATTGTCCAAATCAATCGCGTCACCTTGTACTAAATATCTCTCAACCTATTTTATTTTTCGCCACTAATTCGAAAGAATTAAGACAACAAGTATACTTCTTGTTATGTGTTTTTTAGATTAAGACAATAGAGCAATGACAACAAAGAACATTCACGTTGAAAAGATAAGAGTCTTCACATAGGAAGTAAATGAGACACAATCTATAACTCCACGTATAGATGAAATCTCAGCTGTTCTGTTATACGAATAAAAATAAGTGAACAAAATGAGAAAATAAACAGTAATAATCAAATTGAGACACAAACATACAGTTGACAAAATATAAATTGAATTAATGTTTCACCTCTACAGTTCCTTCAACCCTGGAAAATATAAATTGATAAAAAATTAGAGGGTTGCTTTTATTTGTGGCTTCTGCAAATTTTAATGTTTATTTTACAAGTACAATTCGATATATGTATATTGTTGATATTTTAATATTTATTGTTTCATTGAAGCAAGTATATGGCAACTGTTCCAATTATCTTTTACTGGGGGGGAAACATAATTCGGGATCCCGATGAAGGTGTGTCATATGATGCTGAGCCGAAAGGGATATATATGGTGCAACTTGGCACCACACTTGCCAATTTGGAGGAGATGTTTATGTCCAAGGTCGCAAGTTACGGGGAAATAGTCCGATTGATCTTCGAATGTAGATATCCTTATCGCCAGTGGCAAGCAACCAGCAAATACAAAATATTACCGATAAACGACGATGAGGCATTGAACACCGTTTTAAGTATCGGTGGAAATTTCGAACCACCAAATTGTTTGGAAGTGTACATTCAGAAAGAGGTTGTGGAGGAGATGTTTATGTCCAAGGTCGCAAGTTACGGGGAAACAGTCCGATTGATCTTCAAATGTAGATATCCTTATCGCCAGTGGCAAGCAACAAGCAAATACAAAATATTACCGATAAATGACGATGAGGCGTTGAACACCGTTTTAAGTATCGGTGGAAATTTCGAACCACCAAATTGTTTGGAAGTGTACATTCAGAAAGAGGTTGTACAGAATCTTCCGAATATAACACAGATGGATTCGCATCCGTTCACTATATTGCTGACACATGGGGTTGACACGACAGCATTTCAGTCTCCTATGTATGAATCAAATGAATGTTATGCAGCTGGCTACACACAACAGACATTTCATGGCCATGGTGGAGAATCAAGTTCACATGGTGGATACGAGACTGAATTTCACAATAACACCCAAGATGTGCCCACCTATAGCTATCATACGACTCCAGTTGAAGTTGCTGGTAATATGGCTGAAACGGTTAATTTTGTGCAGTTTGCTGACAGTGACATGTACGGTCCTGATGTCGCCCTAGGCAATGATGAGATTGAAATGTGTGATGAAGAAAATTTATTGGGCGGATCAGATGATGATGATGATGAAGAAGATGATGTCGACGCTCCAGTTGATATTCAGAATGCCCCCATTCCACCTAGACCTGAAATCCCTTTCTTTGAAAACATTCACATGGGTGGTGATTTTGACATTAGTAACCGCGATGTCGTTCCCCGTAACCGAATCTGGAATGCTGAAAATCCAGAGTTGGACAAAGGGATGGTTTTCGTTGATAAGAAGCAACTCGTACATGCTGTGAAATTGTACCATGCAACAAATAATCGAGAGTACAAAGTCGTAACCTCCAAGCGAGACGTTTGGGTGTGTGCTTGCAAGCACGACTGTAGATGGTGGTTGCGTGCATCTCTTAGTAAGAGACATGGGCTTTTTGAAATAAAGCAGTATAGGGGTCCTCACCATTGTTTATACCCACGAATGAACAGGGACCACACAAATATTAGCTCCAGTTACATTGCTTCTCATCTTTTGGGACAAGTTGCGGTGAGTATACAAAATAAATGTTTACATTTATATACACATTGTTTATTTAAAGTGTTCACACCAAAATTGTGTCTTTAAAGTGTTCACACCAAAATAATCTGACTCATAGGTATTGTTGTATGCAGAACGAACCTGATATGCCCATTAAGAATGTCATCGAAGACATAAAAAAGTCCATGAACTATACTATACATTACAAGAAGGCGTGGCATGCAAGGGCAAAGGCAATTAGAATGGCATTCGGAGATTGGGATGAAACATATATGATGTTGCCTAAATTCATGTATGCATTACAAACATCTAATCCTGGCACCATCGTGCAATGGAAGCATAGATATACCGGAAATACAACCATTATGCCCGTCATCCACTTTGTTTTTTGGTCTTTCAAACCCGTCATCGATGGATTCAGACATTGTAGGCCTGTTATAACCATAGATGGTACATTCTTATACGGGAAATACACTGGTGTGTTGCTTGTAGCAACGATTGTCACCGCCAATGGCAAAGTACTACCGCTTGCATTTGCTGTTGTCGACAAGGAGAGTTTGGAGTCTTGGTCGTTCTTCATTTCAAATATCAAGGAACATATTGTCATGGACAGACAGGGAGTGACTTTGATATCCGATCGAGCTGAGAGTATTTTAGCTGCTGTGAGGCGGCATTGGTTGAATCCCTCACTCCAATTTGTTGGATATCATCGGCACTGCCTTCGACATGTTTGTAGTAACCTTAACACTACGTTCAGAAATAAGGAGCTGAAACAACTTCTATGGAAAGCAGGAAGTGCTCATCAACGACGAAAGTGTAATGGTTACTTACAACAAATACAGGCTATTGACCAAGAAGCCATCACTTAGGTTTACAAGATGAATCCTGAGGAGTGGGCCCTTTCGTATGACGGTGGACATCGCTGGGGGGTATTGACTAGCAATGATGCAGAGTGCTTCAATAGCGTCTTGAAAGGTGCAAGGAACTTACCTATCTCAGCTATGGTTGAATTTACATTTCGGCGGCTTGTAAAATATTTTGACGAGATGGGAGCCCAAGCTGAAATAGATGTAAGAAATGAGTTCCAATACCCTAGAGAGATGCAAAAAACTATTGAGGATGGCATCGCAAAGGCAAATACTTTCAAGTTGATATCATATGACAGGTTAGTTTGTAATATAAATTAAATTATTGTTATTATGTTGTCAATTTAACTACACCTAAAAACATGAACTTCATTAGCCACGAGGTAGCCGATGGAGGGTTGACATGAGCCACGAGGTCGTATCGACCCACGTAGTGGTCGTGTATAGAGACCAGCTTGACCGGATGATAGACGGCGAGGTATCAAATTTAAATACCTAAATTTTAATTGTCATATGGACTGTATACGTTTATGAGCGATTTTTAATAGACTTGTCGTTATTGTAGTTTATCTGGCAGCCTTATGCTGATGTCCTCCACACGCTCCCAGACTACTGCCGCCTAGGTGAGGATATATGGATGGCGAGAGTACCACTCATTTGTTATGACGTGGTTGAGTGGCATCTCCCTGATCGTGTCCTCCGACAGTTTGGTCGGGTCCAGGCCGTGCCGGATCGGTGTGACACCGAGTGGCGGTTGCATGCGACGGATAGACGTGGCCGAGCCAGCACTGACTGGAGTCAGCATCATATGCGATACATACAGTTGTGGGATGCCCGTCGCGACACTATTGTACAGGCTGACTGGAGCGATGGGGTCCTCCCCTCTCCCGACCCTTACATGTTGTGGTATCGGCGACATACACACCTACTTGTCGGTACATTTTCAGACGTGATGGACAGCTTGGTCTGCAGGCCCTTGTAGAGATCAGAGAGTTATTGTACGAGGGGATCCAGCATGCCCATCGGGTAGATCGTCTGCATTTTGGGGACTACGGTGTACACAGTGCAGCAGCTGCTCCAGCTTAATTGATATAGTTAAATTACATGCTCACCAATACAGTTTTTCAAAATGTATTTGTTTTTCAACTGTATAGGCTTCATGGTACATCTACCTGATGAGGTCCCCCTTTTGAGTCATCCACATCGGGCTGACAGTATATGGGAGGACCCGGTATGTAATAACGTTTGTTGGACTTTACGCGTACAATGAAAATACACTGCATTTTGTTTTTCATTTCCTTGATAATGCTATAATTTAAAATACTCATTTTGTTATGCAGGACCAGTCACGCACCGTGGTGGCATGCCGACGGGGAGATTCCGGCCTGTGGGATCGTCCATTGGACCATAGAGTCTTGCAGTGTCTACTACGCGCGGGATTCTATGGTGTATATCGTATAGGCCATATCAGACTGGACCACCCACTCATTACTGCTTTTGTCGAGAGATGGCGCACAGAGACTCATACATTTCATTTCCCGACCGGTGAGGCCACCGTCACATTGCAGGACGTATCTGTCCTATACGGTCTACGGATTGATGGGCGAGCAGTTACTGGACTTGACCCATCATTGACGACGGAGCAGTGGATAGCGCTATGTGCTGAGCTATTGGGAGTAGCACCTACACCTGCAGACTTACGGACAGGTAGAGTGAGGGTGAGGTGGCTGTCGGAGCATTTTCACGGCGATTTTCCAGATGATGCTGCAGATGAGTTAGTACAGCAGCATGCGCGAGCATATATTCTGTGGCTTATTGGGGGGGTACTTCTCCCTGATAAGTCACAGAACCTGCTCAAGCTGATGTATTTGCCACTGTTGAGAGACATTGATGTCATCGGCCAGTACAGCTGGGGCGTCGCGGCTTTGGCATGCTTGTATAGGATGTTATGTCGAGCCACTCAGGTGGGTGTGACTCAGATCGGAGGACCCCTTGTCTTGCTACAGGTTAGTAAGAATTTTATTACATGTCAATTCATATTGTATGGCATATATCAGTATTGTAATTGCGTTCAAACTATTGCAGATTTGGGCGTGGGAGAGATTGATTCGCATTGCCCCGTCTAGGTGGCAACTAGTTGCTCCTGGTGAGGTTCCCATCGGGCAGGGAGACATGCAGATGCCGGCCGGACCTCGAGGTAGTTGTAATTGCGTTCAAACTATTGCAGATTTGGGCGTGGGAGAGATTGATTCGCATTGCCCCGTCTAGGCGGCAACTAGTTACTCCTGGTGAGCTTCCCATCGGGCAGGGAGACATGCAGATGCCGGTCGGACCTCGAGGTAGCCGATGGAGGGTTGACATGAGCCACGAGGTCGTATCGACCCACGTAGTGGTCGTGTATAGAGACTAGCTTGACCGGATGATAGACGGCGAGGTATCAAATTTAAATACCTAAATTTTAATTGTCATATGGACTGTATATGTTTATGAGCGATTTTTAATAGACTTGTCGTTATTGTAGTTTATCTGGCAGCCTTATGCTGATGTCCTCCAGACGCTCCCAGACTACTGCCGCCTAGGTGAGGATATATGGATGGCAAGAGTACCACTCATTTGTTTTGACGTGGTTGAGTGGCATCTCCCTGATCGTGTCCTCCGACAGTTTGGTCGGGTCCAGGCCGTGCCGGATCAGTGTGACACTGAGTGGCGGTTGCATGCGACGGATAGACGTGGCCGAGCCAGCACTGACTGGAGTCAGCATCATATGCGATACATACAGTTGTGGGATGCCCATCGCAACACTATTGTAAAGGCTGACTGGAGCGATGGGGTCCTCCCCTCTCCCGACCCTTACATGTTGTGGTATCGGCGACATACACACATACTTGTCGGTAATCCGAGCCACCTCTCCGAGGCCGGATATCAGGGAGTTGGGCCTTCTCTCGAGTCATTGGTGCGTAGCGTACTATATCTCCGATTATTGTTAATATCATAATTGATTATTTTCAGTCAACTATAGCCTAATATATCTATTTTTTTTACAGGTGGTTCGAGCTGGGAGGTCATATCACTTGGCTGAGGACGCCATTTTCAGACGTGATGGACAGCTTGATCTGCAGGCCCTTGTAGAGATCAGAGAGTTATTGTATGAGGGGATCCAGCATGCCCATAGGGTAGATCGTCTGCATTTTGGGGACTACGGTGTACACACTGCAGCAGCTGCTCCAGACACATCAGTCCCGTCCACGTCAGTGCCTCCCAGTTCAGCGCCAGCCACAGCAGGTCCTTCGACTTCAGTCACCCCACCACATGATACCCCATACATTTCTCCATATTCCCCACACGTACATCTTACCCAGCATGCTGACCCTGACCCTGATTGGTCACCGCCCCGCTTCATGCATGATGTTATTACCCCACCCACCCAGTTACATCCTACTTTTCTAGGGAGTACTTCGACCGCGCCCCGGTTCATGCATGATGTTGCTACCCCATCCACCCAGTTACCACCTGCTTTTATGGGGACTACTTCGACCGCGCCCAGGAGTACACATGATGCAATTCTCACTGACATCTCACACATTGATGATGAGGCCCATATTGAGCCCTCCCCCAGAGCGCGAGGGAGAGGTTATGGTCGTGGGGGACGTCGCGGCCGAGGTCGGGGTGCGGGCAGAGGCAAAGGTCGGGGTCCAACTACAGATCGTGATACAGTTGCACCAGACGAGGGAGTGGGAGTTTCACAGCTCACAGCAGTATCTGATCTACAGGCACAGGCAGGATCATGGGCATCAGATGCAGGAGAGGGGGGGTCACACTCACACTCACAGGCTTCACAGGCAGTCAGTGGAGGGCCGCACGCAGGGGAGAGAGTGCCAGATATTCAGAGAGTCTACCGTAGGAGACCGAGGAGGGAGATCCACGGTCGGGGTTGTGGGACTGGGGGCAGGTTAGGGCATTAGCGGTTGCGATATAGACTATATAGGTTTTTTTTTTCTTTTTTTTGTTTGTATGTGTCAAACTTGTACAGCTGATATAAGTGTCATACTTATTTATTCGCAATTATAATTTCACAATTTTTTGTTCTTATTTATATTGATGAATCACACAAATCTGTTTCACATCTCTACCCCTCTCTCATTATCCGTAATTTAGGAGAACATAAATTACAAACGCGTTTGGTTTGAACAAAACGTGTAAAGAAGCTATAAAAAATATGTTTGTTCAAGGCTAAAAATAATTGAAATATCTCGTTTTATTGATAAGTCATGGATAAGCATTACAAATTGCATGCATTACAGAAATGCCCTGGGCGTTCATCCAAACAATTTCATTCATTATCATCATCATCTGACATCTCAATATCAGATTCATACATAACATCCATGCTCCAGGCGTAGTACTGGTGTGCATCATCCATTAACCCATCATCGGCACGCTCATTTGCGGTCTTCATTAGTTCGGACCTTTGCAAACGTTGGGTCATGCGATTAACCTCGTCGCGGATACGATGCAATGCCCTTTGCAACAACTGTGGAGTGTCAGTTGGCATACGCATGGCTAACCGGCGAGGAAATTTAAGATTAACTTCACGGCATAGCTCAACGAGAATGTTTGTTCGAGTTTTGCGAAATTCCCACTCAGCTCTCATGGTATTGACGGTGGCACGTGAGTAACGCAAATTTGGATTTAATGGGTATTGAAATTCATCTCCATCTGCAACCCAATAGCGACCCATTGCTGAATATAGATCAACCACCGTATATGTCATGATCATATCGGTAGAAATAGCTGTAAAACTTTTGTTGTGGTATGCTACGATATTTATACCATATATACACATGGTAGCTGTATGTATGCAATTTCCTGTTCGATCACATGCATGCCACTGACCTTATCCAGTTCATACGGCTGTCAGGACTCGACTTTGTGCAGTCATGAACGAATCAACGGCCTGTAGCATCGGCTATTGTGCCGCAGATGCAGTGATGCCTGTGACTTTGTGCATAATTGCAATGGGCACAGTACGTAGGAGGTATGTGACTTTGTGTAGCGATGCCGGGATGCATCTGACTTTGTGCAGTGATACAGTGATGCGTGTGACTTTGTGCATCACTGCATCACTGCATGTGACTTTGTGCAGTGATGCAATGCTGCATGTCACTTTATGCAGTGATGCAGTAATGCATGTGACTTTCTTACTTTGCCATGCTTGTATACGTTGTGAATTTTTTCTTGACATTACGTGATGCATGTGACTTCTGCAGTGCAACTTACATGCTTTGTTTTTTCCGCACATTTCAGAATTCATCTAAGTCACATTATTACGACTGTGAAAAGAAGCAGAAAATGCTATTATGTTGGTAAAAAAATATGATGGACGGTTGTGTAATGACAATAAAAATCGGATGACTGTGAAGTTCATTAACTGAAAATAAGATAAAATATAGGCACCAAAGTTCCAATCGTGTTTACCTAGCAGGTGACCATTTTATTATGTTGGTGAGAAAAACAATGATAGTTTATGAACAATATTACTTTAATACAAAGAAAATTTCATTTTTCGATTTCATTTATAATTTCTCGAAAACACTTATACGTACTGAAATCGTCAATTCCAAGTGAGTACTTATTGCATTACAAAAGTAAGCATGACAAAATAGTTTCATGTGCCAATGTGACAACTCACTGCATTTTGTTTTATTTGACAACGCACTGCTCAAATATGAAGGGATTGCATCGTGATTCTATGGCCTACAATTATTATTTTATCTTACAACCACGTCCGTGACTACATCACAGGTACACAAAGTCACGAGTAATCAAAATTACATGAAATGAATAACATCAAAAAATATCACGTGTATCACTTATTCCATAGTGCCCTAGCACCACTATGATGTCTATAAATACCCCAGTATGATGTTTGTTGAAGTCATAACAATAGTAATAGATATACAATTACTATTATTATTATTTTTTTTAATTTTATTAACAATGTCTTCAAGAGGTGCAGGAAGTTCACGCCGGCAAAGAAATCCGAAAGTGTGGCTGCTACCTCCATTTATGTATGACTACAAGAGCGAAAAGTACTCAAGTCCGAAGGATTATTATGCTGGTATCCGAGCAGAATGGGCGTTCAGGGTAACGGAGCAAGAAGGATTGTATAATGATCTACGTAACTTTGGGGCACCGGTACCTCATCGTCGTTCATTGACCATGGCTAGACGAAATGTGAGTGACTATGAAAAAGCAGTTAGCAGAATTAAGAAGGAGAACAACAGGATGTTGATGCGGAGATGTCGACATTTCATGCTTCAGCTAGCCACTGAAATGGCAGAAGCAAGCAACAGAGATTTGACAATGGTTGAGCGAAATAATGTCTTAAACAATGAAAAATATCTCTCTGACTACTACATGTCAGATGAGGAATAAGAAATCAAACACCGTTATCTTTCATATGTTCGTTCTTGGAGTGTAAGACAATGTTGTTGTTGGTCTAACGTACGGATGTATTTCAAGTATTTTTGTTATGAACCTGAAGTTTATGAAATAACTACATTTATAAGTACACATTTATGAGTTCATGACTTTCTTTATTGAATTGCAATTTGTTAATGAATGTTCTTGATTAATGAATGGATTAATGTATGTTCAATTATGTGAATACTTAAAACACATAAAATAGATCAGGCAACTCGGAGAAAAGGTTCCCTTAACTGGGGCTGCTGAAATAGGGATGAAATTACAACGAATTTCAATCTCCATCAGGAAAGAAGAAAGAGTCACCTTCCAATTCTTGCAAGTCCAGTAAAAATTATGACTCCGGTAATGAATGAGGGGTTGACAAAAAACTAAACTCGGTGAATCGAACTACCGCCTTCAACAACACATAAAACATAACAGGTAGGTCGGTGAATAGCTTCCCAAATGACAAGAACAATTCAAATAGTCATACTTTTCAATGAAATACAAATAGCGGGTCGTAAGCTTCATAAGCTTCATTTTTTCACACATTGAGTAGTCAAATCGTGGAGACACTTGTCAGTATATGCAGATAGATTGTGAAGTCATGTGACCTGGTGCACAGTCTTTGGTTTTATTGATTTGTTTATTACAGTGACAACTCATCTCTTATTTACGTATGTGGGATTCTCAACTCAGAAAGTCACATGGCAACAGTGAATTCACTGATTTACCTTACTATCAGCATGCCTTTATTTTGTCTGTATATGCAGATGGATTGTGAAGTCATGTGACTTGGTGCAGAGGCTTTGGTTTTCTCGATTTTTTGCTCGATTTTTTGTATTACAATGACGACTCATCTGTTATTGATATATGTGGGATTCTCAACTCAGAAAGTCACATGGCAACAGTGAGTTCACTGGTTTACCTTACAAACAACATGCCTTTATTTTGTCCTTATATGCAGATGTATGGTCAAGTCATGTGAATTGGTGCACAAGCTTTGGTTTCCTCGATTTGTTGCTCGATTTTTTTTATTACAGTGACAACTCATCTGTTATTGATATATGTGGGATTCTCAACTTAGAAAGTCACATGGCAACAATGAATTCACTGAATTACCTTACAGTCAGCATGCCCTTATTTTGTTCGTATATGCAGATGGATTGTGAAGTCATGTGACTTGGTGCACATGCTTTGGTTTTCTCCATTTTTTGCTCGACTTTTTTGTTACAGTGATAACTCATCTCGTATTGATATATGTGGGATTCTCAATTCAGAAAGTCACATGGCAACAGTGAATCCATTGATTTACCTTACAGTCAGCATGCATTTACCTTACACGTATATGCAGATGGATTGTCAAGTCACGTGACTTGGTATTTTTCGATTTCATTTATAATTTCTCGAAAACACCTATACGTACTGAAATCGTCAATTCCAAGTGAGTACTTATTGTATTACAAAAGCATGACAAAATAGTTTCATGTGCCGATGTGACAACTCACTGCATTTTGTTTTATTTGACAACGCACTGCTCGAATATGAAGGGATAGCATTGTGATTCTATGGCCTACAATTATTATTTTATCTTACAACCACGTCCGTGACTACATCACAGGTACACAAAGTCACGGGTAATCAAAATTACATGAAATGAATAACATCAAATAATATCACGTGTATCACTTATTCCATAGTGCCCTACCACCACTATGATGTGTATAAATACCCCAGTATGATGTTTGTTGAAGGCATAACAATAGTAATAGATATACAATTACTATTATTATTATTTTTTTTAAAAGAGAGAGATTTTTTCGCTCATTTCAGAATTCATCTAAGTCACATTATTACGACTGTGAAAAGAAGCAGAAAATGCTATTATGTTGGTAAAGAAATATGATGGACGGTTGTGTAATGACAATAAAAATCGGTGACTGTGAAGTTCATTAACTGAAATAAGATAAAATATAGGCACCAAAGTTCCAATTCGTGTTTACCTAGCAGGTGACCATTTTATTATGTTGGTGAGAAAAACAATGATAGTTTATGAACAATATTACTTTAATACACAAAGAAATTTCATTTTTCGATTTCATTTATAATTTCTCGAAAACACTTATACTACTGAAATCGTCAATTCCAAAGTGAGTACTTATTGATTACAAAAGTAAGCATGACCAAAATAGTTTCATGTGCCGATGTGAACAACTCACTGCATTTTGTTTTATTTGACAACGCACTGCTCAAATATGAAGGGATTGCATTGTGATTCTATGGCTACAATTATTTATATCTTACAACCACGTCCGTGACTACATCACAGGTAACACAAAGTCACGGTAATCAAAATTACATGAAATGAATAACATCAAAAATAATATCACGTGTATCACTTATTCCATAGTGCCTACACCACTATGATGTCTATAAATACCCCAGTATGATGTTTGTTGAAGTCATAACAATAGTAAATAGATATACAATTACTATTATTATTATTTTTTTAAATTTTATTAACAATGTCTTCAAGAGGTGCAGGAAGTTCACGCCGGCAAA